AAATATTAGATTTAAGACAACTTTGTTGGAAGACCATGCAAATCTCCAACTTGTATATAATCAGGGGGCTAGCATCTGGAGGGAAACCCTGGTGGTGTGGTGGTTAAGAGCTATCTATGGCTGCTAACCAAACGGTCGGCAGTTCGAGTCCACCAGGTGCTCCTTGGGATCTCTATGGGGTGGTTTTGCTCTGTTCTATTGGTCTCGACGGCGGTGGGTTTGGTTTTTGGGTTTTAGCGCCTGGAGACAGGAGGCTGGTGATTTTATCGAGCCGGCAGCAACTTCAGGGCAAAAGTGATGTAGAAGTGGTGAAGTGATTGGGGCATAAAGTTGGGATCAGAGAGAATCAGAGGCCTTCTTTTCCCACATCAAGAAAGCTTTATTGCTGTTTCGATTATCGTTATTATTGTAAATCACTGTGTCAAGATCTCTCTCTCTCTTACTATTTCTTTGTGTAGATGTTTTGATGATTTGTTGAGTTACAGTATAATAACTAATTTCTGGTTAAAGTTTATCAAAGGAAGTTTTCTCAGGAAATAGTTCTGCTACCTCTGTCTCATACGAGATAGCTGCATTAGAGATGAAGAAGAGAGAGATGTACGAAATTCAGAGTAACTTCTGCATCTGGTTTGTTTACATGGTAACTGGGGAGCCCTTTTCACGGGCAAACTATCTTTTCCTTTAGTTTTACTTTGTTTAGTCTGAGGGAGCTCTCGGGTTCTGTGTGTAGGGAGACCTCTGAATTATTTGTGTTTCTGTAATTCATATGTCACTTGCGCTGGAATACATATGCAGTTATCTGGACATATTGAACTTGTCATTCATTACTCACCAGAGTATCTCATTTAAAATAGCTGTCAGTATTTATTTGACTGAGGCCCATGAAAGGGAATTGTTGGAATTAGGCCATAAGGAATTAGGGTCTCATCGGATTCTCGTGATTGGATCCAGTGCCTCGCACGTTGTTGTTTGCCGTTGAGTCAATTCTGACTCATGGCAACTATATGAGAGAGTAGAACTGCCCCGTACGGTTTCCTAGGCTGTAATCTTTATGGAAGCAGATCGCCAGGTCTTTTCTCCATGGAGCCACTGGTGGGTTCAAGCCACCAATCTTTCAGTTAGCAGCCGAGTGCTTACCCATTGTGCTACCAGGCCTCCTTAGCACCTAGCGTAGTCCCTGGCAAAAAGTAAAGCTGTATATGTTGTCAATGACTAATTTAGTAACATGTAATAAAAGGTCATCTGATCTCCAGGAACAGGAAAGTGAACATTCTGAATCTTATAAACCTATTGTTGTTAGCACTGAGTCAGCCCCCGACTCATGGTGACCCCAAACACAATGGGATCAGACCACTGTGATTCATAGGGTTTTCAATGGCTTATTTTTTGGGAAGTAGATCACGAGGCCTTTCTTCCTAGTCCATCTTAGTGTGGAAGCTCTGCTGAAACCGATTCAGCATCATAGTAACACACAAGCTTCCAATAACAGATGGGTGATGACTGCGCATGAGGTGCATTGGTTGGGAATCGAACCCAGTCTCCTGCATAGGTGAAAAATTCTACCACTGAACCACCAATGCCTTCGTAAAACCTATACCCATTGCTGTCAAATTGATTCTGATTCATAGTGACCCTATAGGACAGAGTAGACCTGCCTGGTAGGATATCCAAGGCTGTCATCTTTACGGAAAAGGAGCCCTGGTGGCAAAGTGGTTAAGCGCTTGGCTGCTAACCGGAAGGTTGGCAGTTCAAATCGACCAAGAGCTCCAAGGGAGAAAGATCTGGCAGTCTGCTTCCATAAAGATTTGCAGCCTTGGAAACCCGCATGGCCAACTCTGTTCTGTAGGGTTGCTATGGGTCAGAATGCGGGTCAACAGCAATGGATTTTGGTAATCGTTATGGAAGCCGACTGCTACATCTTTCTCCTGCAGAGCGGCTGGTGGGTTCAACCACCAACCTTTGGTGAGCAGCCGAGCTCTTAACTACTGTGCCACCAGGGCTCCTATGAAACCTACGTTCTTGTTAGGTGCCGTCGAGTTGGTTCTGCCTCATAGCAACCTTATGTACAACAGAATGAAGCACTGCCCAGTCCTGTGCCATCCTCACAATCATTGCCATGAGCCCAGCATTGCAGCCACTGTGTCAATCCATCTTGTTGAGGGTCTTCCTCACTTTTTTTCACCCTCTATTTTACCAAGCATGATGTCCTTCTCCAGGAACTGGTCCCTCCTGATAGTACAAAGTACCTGAGACAAAGCATCGCCATCTTCACTTCTGAGGAACATTCTGGCCGTGCTTCTTCCAAGACAGATTTATTTTTCTGTCAGTCCGTGATATATTTAATATAAAACCTATAACCAAACAACCAAACCCACTGCCATCGAGTTGGTTCCGACTCGTAGCAATGTTGTAGAGATGAGCCAGATGAATAGAGAGCTGTGAAAACCTGTTATCACAAAGGTGTTTCTGAAAGACTCTCACTGTGCTGATTACTGCCAAGCCTATTTGTCCTCGGTCTGCGCAGCTTGGCAGAATTGATCTAGATTGGTTTTGGATTTTTAAGGAATAGAAAAAAAAAAAGACTCAGTTATACATTATATTGGGTTATAATATGATCGAGTCTGTCCATGAATTTCCTAAATGACTTACAAATTTTTTACATGAGACTGTAGAGATTGTTTCTCTACATGATTATAATGAATAGCTCCTTAAGTATCTCAGCGCCTTTTCATCACTTGATTCTCACGTCAGTCTGATGAGGTGGGTTTTGATGTTACATCCCCATTTTTATACTTGAAGAAACTGAGAGTCAGATGAAAAGTGACTGTAGAGGTCACTTGGTGAGTGGAAGAACTAGCGTGTAAACTCCTTTTTTTTTTTAACTCAGAATCCCATACTCCCCCACCCCACTCTCTCTGGTCAGCTCTAAACTTCTTACTTTGTGGAATCGTGGAAGGAGCTCTGGCCTAGGTGTCAGGAGACCTGGATTCTGGTTCTGACTGGGTCATTGCTCTGGATGTTGAGCAAGCCACTGAAGTCTTTGGATGTAATTTTCCTGCAAGGAGGTTAGAGTAGCTTCAGAATCCCTATCAGGCCCTTATCCAAGGCTTGTGTCAGCTCTGAAATGCTCACCTACAATGTAGAGAAGAGTTGAGAGAGAAAGTGGAACACTTGCCATTCGATCCAGCTCTGCTTTGGCTTCCCCTGACAAGATAGAAGGAGTTGCAGTGGTTAAGCCCTCCTTGGAAATCCTATGGGCAGTTCTACTCTGTCCTGTAGGGTCACTATGAATCGGAATCAACTCAACAACAATGGGTTTGTTTTTTTGGGTTTGGCCAAGCACGGAGAAATAGGACCGCCACAGATGACGAGAATCTTGGGCCCTATAAGACTGTTTTCTTTGATCTGTTTCCTGAGCTGGTATTTCTCGGTCTGTTCTTTTTTACTCATCAACAAAAGTATTTGAGCCAAGCTCTCTTGTGGTTTCAGCCCAGGGATGAACACATCTGGGCTGTGTTCCCATCTGGCCTAAAAAGAAGTGATAACCTCTTTGTATGAGCCCATCTGTTATCGTAATCCTTTTTGGAACAGGGAAACTGTAAATAAATATCACCTTATTCTTCTCTGAAGGAGCCCTTGTGGTGGAGTGGTTAAGCACCCAGCTGCTAACTGAAAGGTCGGCGGTTCGAACCTACCAGCTGCTCCATGGGAGAAAAATGAGCTAGTCTACTTCCATAAAGATTTCAACCTTGGAAACCCTATGAGGCAGTTCTACTCTGTCATACAAGGACACTATGAGTCAGAATCAACTCAACAGCAGCAGGCTTTTTTTTTTTTTTTTTGGTATCCTTCTCTGAGATTTTCAACTTATAGCAGGTAGATGTGGGGTGGGGAGCATAGGACAATACACAATTTTTTTTTAAATTTTTTAAAATTATTATTATTATTTTTTATTTTACCTGCATGGTTAACTCTGCAGTTGTTCACAGATCAATTTAAAAAAACAAAACAAAACAAACAAACAAAAAAAGCTGTAAAACATTGTGATAAGGGGAACTACATTTACTTGCCACCATCCATCTGCCAGTTTGTCAGACTGTGATGGCTTGTGTGTTGCTGTGATGCTGGAAGCTTTGCCTCCACTATTTCAAATATTAGCAGGGTCACCCATGATGGAAAAGTTCTAGCAGAACTTCCAGACTAAGACAGAGTAGGAAGCAAGGCCCGCTGATCTACTTCTGAAAATTAGCCAATGAAAACTTTATGGATCACAACAGAATATCGTCCAATATAGTGCTGGAAGATGAGCCCGCTAGTTTGGAAGGCACTACGCAATAGCCTTAACAGTGGACTCATGAAAATGGTGAAGGAGCAAGCAACACTTTGGTCTTTTGTACATAAGGTTGCTTTGATTTGCAAGTGACTCTTCAGCAACTAATGACAAACATTTTATTGACATTGAAAAGAAAAGATAAATAGATAACTATAAACCCCTTGCCATCAAGTCGATTCCTACTCATAGCAACCCTGTAGGACAGAGTAGAACTGCCCCATAGGGTTTCCAAGGAGTGGCTGGTGGATTCGAACTGCTGACCTTTTCGTTAGCAGCCAAGCTCTTAACCACTACACCGCCAGGGCCCCAGATAAACTATAACCACCACCATCTACCATCACCACCAAAAAACAGAGGGACAAAACTCCTAGCAGGTAGCAAACGGCAGGTCTTCCCAGGAAAAGAGACTCGGTGTTCTTACACTGACATTATCACCCTGGACTAGTCAATATCCTCATCAATGATTCTAGTCTGCATTTGGAAAGCTCTGCTCTGCCTGGTACTTGGATGCTGTCACTTCCAGACTTCCTGGGTAGGAAGTAGAATTCTGAATGGGGAGATAAGAGCTACATGCCCAGATCAGCCCTTTCCCCTCACTGCCGCCTCTACCCTGCTGTCCTGCTGTGAATTAGATCTTAAAACTTTTTCCTTGTGTCTTTCCTCATAGGCAAAAAGCGAAACCCTGGCCTTAAGATCCCGAAAGAAGCATTTGAACAACCTCAGACCAGTTCCACGTAAGTTGGCAAGATCATCATCTTCATTCCAATACTTGTACCTTACAGATTTTTAGGGAAGGAGGGTTCATTATTGGATTGATGAGCAATGCCCTGGCTTTGGAAATAGCTGTTAGAAAAAGAGCTCTTTATGGGGCAGAAGCCGTTTGCTCAGTGTTTTGAGACCTGAGGTAATCACTCAATCAGTCTATATCGAATAGGTAACTTTGGACTCGATGTTTCAAATTATCGGTTGGGTGAGAACTGAAATGCATTTGGCCTATGGGGTCCTGTGTAACTCAAGATAGGTCTGAGGGTGTAGACTCTCTTACCTTTCCCCTGTAGATTTGAGCAAACAAACAAATCCCTGAAAGCCACTACTGTAACTCTTAGGGTGACATAAAAGGTAGTATTTGGTGAAGACCCAGCATCCTAGCACCTACATCCTGCCCTTGAGAGTTGTATAAACAGAGGACAAAATGAGGTAAAGGAAACCGTCTTTATAGCTGAGGCTTTGGCTCAAATCCCTAACTGAGTTCAAGTCCTGATGAAGCAGGATATGCTCCCAGTGAGCCTCCCTCTTGTTTCCTTGTCTTTCTGTAGGGTAGGGAGAGTGCTTCCTGTCCAGCTGGAGGTAAGACCACTTACCAAAGCACCTGCATAGGAGGAATGGAAATTCCAGGAAACGAATCACAATAGAAGTACCAGAGAGACATAGGAAGTCCAAAGAGAGACCATCCCAGTGCAAGCCAGTTTGGGGCTTTTGCTCATCTCTACAAAAGTACCTCTTTGTAAAGGTTTTTGACCTTAACCATATCTGCCCTCTCCGAAAAGTGCTAGTAAAAACAATCATATTTATTGTACGACATCGTTAAGGTCATTGGTCATTGCATTCTCTGCAGCGATATAAAAAATTAGAAGAATCCCCAAGGGCAGAGTGGAGTGGAGGGCTACTCCTACTAACTTACTGAACACACTTATTTTTGGGAGCTTTTTGTAGATTACTTGGTATTTTCTACATAGACATGCCATCAGCAAATAGATAGTTTTATTTCTTCCTCTTCAATCTTTATTCCTTTAAATTTTTTTTATTGCCTTACCGTGATGGTTGATATGTGCATGACTATGTTAAATAAGATGGCTCAGAGCGGGTGTCCTTGCCTTGTTCCCAGTCTTAGAGAAGAGCATCCAGTCTTTCATCACCAAGTATGACGGTAAACCAAAATCTAATCCAGCTCCCATCGAGCCGATTCAGTATGATGTTAGCTATAGGTTTTTTGTGGATGCTGTTTATGAGATTGAATAAGTTCCTCTCTGTTTCTGGTGTACTGAGAGTTTTTATCAGGCATGGGTGTTGAATTTTGTCAAATGCTTTTCTGCATCAATTGATAATGATCATAAGATTTTTTCTTCTTTTTCCTGTCGATATGGTAGATTACACTGATTAATGTTTGAATATTGAACCTAGCCTTGCATACCTGGAATAAATGCCACTTAATTGTGGTATATATATGTTTTTATATATTGTTGGATTCAGCTGTCTAAAATTTTGTTGAAGATTTTTTGTCTAAGTTCCTGAGAGATGTTGGTCTATAGTGGGTTTTCTGTGTGCGTGTTTCCTGATTTCGGTTATAATACTGGCCTCAAAATGAGTTTGAAAGTGTTCCTTATTCTTCTGTTTTCTGATAGAGAGTGTATAAAACTAAAAAACCAAATCTGTTGCTGTCGAGTTGATTCTGACTCATAGCGATCCTATAGGACAGCGTAGAACTGCCCCATAGGGGTTTCCAAAGAGCAGCTGGTAGATTTGAACTGCTGACTTTTTTGGTTAGCAACTGAGTTCTTAACCACTGTGCCACCAGGACTCCAGAGAGTGTATTATGTTGGTGTTAATTCTTTTCTGAATGTTGCTAAAATTCTCCAGTGAAACCATCTGGAACTAGATATTTCTTTTTTGGAAGCTTTTTAATTACAAATTCTATTTGTTAAAAGTTAATAGTTTTAATAGTTTAATACTTATAGGACTATTCAGAAGATCTGTTTCATCTCGGCTGAGTTTTAATAGTTTGAAGTTTTGGAGGAATTGGCCCATTTCTTCTAAGTTGTTGAATTTATGAGAGTAAAGTTGTTCATAGTATCTCTTTATTATTGTTTTAATGATTACAGGATCTGTTGTGATATCCTGTTATATTCTTGATATTGGTAATTCGTATCTTCTTTCTATCTCTGTCAATCTTGCTAGAGGTTTATCAATTTTATTGATTTTTTTTTAAGAAACTAAACTTTTGTTCTTTATTGTTTTCCTGTTTGCAATTTCATTGATTTCTGCTCTTTATTATTTCTTCTGGGATATATTTTTATATCAACCTCCCAGCTGTTTTATATCCCTTCCCTTTACCTTTTTATTCTTTGCTTTTTCCAATGTATACTAATTTTCTGTTTTTTATGAACTTGATAAAAGCCACCTTTTAATCCCTCTTTGTTGTGAGTAAATTACTAGAAGCCCATGCAAGGATAAAAGTGGTTATGTTTTGTCTTTCCCTTGTGCAGTAGAATTTACTTGAATATACTTTTGGGCTTCACTGTGCGAAGCCAAGAGCGTTATTATTGCTCTTCATTATTGTAACTATACAGTTTCAGCTCAGGGAAGGGCTTAATGCTATTATTTTAAAGGCTTAAATTTGTGTTCCTGAAGAAGTAGCTTCCACTTTCTGCATTTTTCTTGGCAACTTTTTTGAGGGTGGCTTTCTGATTCTTACCATTCATAGCCTGCCTCTCTGTCTGCCGTATTACACGAAAATAAATAGCCCAGGACAAAGCTCCGTTCTCCTTCGTTCAGTGTGTGTGGTCCCTCTGCTTGAGTGCTTTCCTTGCCAGTGTGTCTTTGAGCTCTCCTGTCACTTGATTGGCACTAATTCTAAAGCGATCCTGTGCTAGTCAGTATTATTTCATCTAACCCTCACAGGAAAGTCAGGCGGCAGTTATTATCATATATTCTTGCTTTAGAAGAAAGTGGAGCTGTAAAAGGGTCAGCTGCCTTGCCCAAAGCAGTTGAACCTAGCTTGGTGGATAGGAGTCCAGACTCTGGAGCCAGAATGCCTGGGTTCATATTTGGGATCTATACTTCACTAGCTGAAAACCTTAAGCAAATTACCTAAACTCTACTAAGCCTTAATTTCCCCTTCTGAAGAATGGGAATAAACAACAGTGGTTGTTATAAGGATTCGATGTTGTAACATATGTTAAGTGTCAAGCATAGTGCCTGGAACATTTTAATTGCTCAGTGAAGAGTAGCTCCGAGTGTTGTTATGATTACTGCTCAGCTTCTAAGTGGAAGAGCTGGTATATAAACCCAGGGCTGTCTGACTACACGTCTGTCCTCTTAACTGTGTAAGGCTGATAGATGCTAGGGCCAGACAGTCCATGGCTAGTGAAATGAGAGGCAGGAACCTTCACCTCTGTAGGTGAGAAGCCTTCATGGTGTGGCTCTGAGTTTCAGTCTCACTTCTCTTTGAATGACTTTCAATTATTTAGTTTCTTTCAATGTCAATTCTTCACATTAAAATAGAAATAATAATACCTCTAAGACTTTTGAAAATTAAAGGTGATATTTTATGTAAAGGGTCTATATATATATATATATACCCTGTCACTCAAAATAAGCAAAAAAAAACCAAATCAGTTGCCATCGAATTGACTTTAACTCATGGCAACCTCATATGTGTCAGAGTAGAACTGTGTTCCATAGGGTTTTCAAGGACTGAATTTTTCAGCAGATTGCCAGGCCTTTCTTTCAAGGTGCCTTTGGGTGGACTTGGACCTCCAACTTTTTGGTTAGCAGCTGAGCATGTTAACTGTTTGCACCACCCAGGGACTCCTCTCTCACCCAAGTAGGTGCTTAAGACATATTGTTGAATAAAAAAATAGTTATTAAAATAAACAACCAGTGAACTGGTTACTCATATAGTATTATAAATAAGTAATTGTTATAATAAGCAGAAGGCTAGTTGTTCATATAAAAAACAAACACTAGGTGACCTTTTGAATACTTTCGGCCTTCCAGGGAAAGGGCTTTATAGTAAGCTTGGTTCTTTTCCCGGAGGACTAAAATACTGAATAAATGACAGAGAACGCCCTCCTACAGTGTAAACCTCCTGCACAGTCTCAATGCCCCAGACAAACTACTATGCCTGGCCCTGGACAGAATACAGTATCAACTAATCCAATCTGAGCTGTCAGTCTTAGCCCCATTGCTGATGCTTTTGGTTGACTTGATGAGCCCGAAGGCTTGAGGCTTGGTTGGGTTGATCATTTTCTTTAGAGGAAGAGGAGGGTGTTGGGAGAAAATTATTTGGATTCAATCAGACTTGGGCTAGAATTGTAGCTTCACCACTTGCCAGCTTTTAAACTGGAAGCAAGTTTATTAAACTCTAAACTAATGGTGTCTCATCTGGAACATAGGAATATTGATACCCATGGTTTTGGGAGTTTTCTGTTTTTGTTTTTGCAGGAGAAGGGGGTATTAAATGAGATGCAGGTAAAACACTTAGTCCAGTCCTCACGACATTTCCTTCCCTCTTAGGTAAGATTGACATTCAGGTGACCTGAGTTTTATTCTCAGTTCTGTTGATGGGACTGTGGCTTCAGCAAATCATCAAACTTTTCTGGGCCTCATTTCTCTCAGTCTGGAAAATGGAATGATACCTTCCTACGAGGTATAGTTATAACGCAAAGTTGGAGTTCCAGGTGGTGCAAACGGTTAATGCTCTTGACTGCTAACCCAAAGGTTGGCATTTCAAGTCCACCCAGAGGTACCTAGGAAGAGAGGCCTGGTGATCTACTTCTGAAAAATCAGCCATTGAAAATCCTACGGAGCACAGTTCTACTCTTACACACATGGGATCACCATGAGTCAGAGTCGACTCAATGGCAACTGGTTTTATAATGCAAGGTTAGTATAGAACTGGGGTCAGCATACCTCTTTGTAAAAGGCCAGATAGTGAGTATTTTAGGCTGCATGGACCACAGTGGCCTCTGACACATATTCTTTGTTGCATGTTTTTTACAGCCCTTTAAACTTGTAAAAATCGCTCTTAGCTCAGCCACAGGCTGCAATTTATGCCGACCCCTTGTATAGAATAATATTAGACCTGAAGAGGGCTTTTCCAATGCCTTCGAAGGATGAGCAAGAAAACAGAGGTAGCCCCAAGTAATGAGTGACCTTCCTGTTGCCACATATTTGTAAAAGGAAGGCTGCTAAATAATTGTGAAGAATTATTTTTAATTATTTCTATTAGTCACATGTTTCAAATAATGTTTGTCTTTGTCTTGACGTTCCATTGCAACTAGTACAAACTTACGGTCACAGCTAAAGAAAAATAGCTTTCAGAATTTTAAGAATGAGAAATTAGGATTTTGGAAATTGGATTCCTCTGGAAAGCTTCCCTGACGGATAATTTCCTGCTCAGAAACACGGGATACGTAAAACCATCACTGCCTAGTGTGTGTGTATGTGCCGTGTATGTGTGTATGTGTGTGTGTGTGTCTTTCCCTCCTAGTCCCCAGTTTTCAGTTAGTATAGAAAGACTCCCCAAGTGTTCTCTCCACATCAAAGGGATTTTGAGGTGAGAGCAGGTTTGCTATTAAAATCTTAGATTCATTTTTATATCTGTGTTTATGTTCCTACTTCTTTCTTATTATTTAATTTATTTATTTAGTTTTGGCAGAAGAGGTAGAACCAGAACACATCAAGGTTGGGAAAAATGTCATTGGCAAAGGATTCCTTCCTCCCTCCCTTCTTTCCTTCCCTTCCCTTCTTCCTTCCTTCCTTCCTTCCTTCCTCCCTTCTTCCCTCCCTCCCTGTCTTTCTTCCTTCCATTTCCTTTGAGTTTTTTCAAGACAATTCTGGCGTGGAACATCTCTCCGAGGAGACCTGAGTCCTCACTTCGGGCGATCCTGTGCTCTGTAGCGCTGGGAGGCTTTGAGCTTTAGCCTCTGCTTGCGGCTGTTTGTTCAGTCATACTTATGGGATGTTTATTAGCGTTTATTACTTTTATCATGATCCTTTTGCTGCGTTTATTTCAAGAAAATACTTTTCTAGGCTCTTAGCTAGATGTATGGAGTCCCTGGATGGTGCAAACAGTTAAGCGCTTGGCTGTTAAATGAAAGGTGGTGGTTCGAGGCCACCCAGAGGTGTCTTGGCAGAAAGGCCTGGAGATCTATTTCTGAAAAATCAGCCATTGAAAATCCTATGGAGCACAGTTCTACCGCTACACACGCGGGGTTGCCAAGAGTTGTAGTCAACTTCACAGCAACTCGTTTGTAAGATGTACTGTCAAAACCAAACGTCTTTATCTAAGTGGATTGATATAACCTAAGATAGTATTAAAATAGTACAGATAAATTCACGTGAGATGACCGTGATCTCTCTGACGGAGACATATAATCAGCAAACCTCTCACTCCTAGGAAGACCCCTGGGAATTATGTACTGAAGAAGTACCTCTGGACTCGATTAGATAGCATCGTGGTGTAGAAAGTATGCTCACCTGGAAGTCAGGAAACCTGGGTTTAGTCATGTGACCTTGGGCAAGTCACTTCACCTCTCTGGACCTTTTCTTCCATCTATAAAAGAAGAGACTAGATTTGGAATTCCTATGTTGTATGAATTTTGTGAGTTAACAAAACCATATGCCAACTATTGATCCTTTTTAAAACAATTGTGAAAAAAAGGTGGAATAATTGAGCATATCAGTGCTTCAAGTTTGAAGTTGACTATTATATTATAATTACCTATATAATTCTGTATATATGATTCATATTTACTGGGTATTTATGTTAAGCATTCTTCTCACCCATTTTACTTGGAATATCTCGCTTCATACTCACTGATACCCCACCAGGTAGGTGTATTGGTACCCCCACAGTACTGAAGAAATGGAAACTCAGAGATTAGCTTATCTGAGCTCATATTGCTGTTACGTGATAGCAGACCTTAAACCCAAATGTATTTTATTCCAAATCCCACTGACATTCTGCTTTATTTTACTCATGGAACCTCGTTACTAAGGAAGACTCTCTCCAGTCACATATGATCTGGGGAAGGACACCTTTGACTAAACACCTCATGTTTTTTCTTTGTCCTGTTCTCTTTCTTAGGCCACCTCGAGATTTAGACTCCAAGGCTTGCATTTCTATTGGAAATCAGGTGAGCAAAATCAAATCTACCAATTAATACCTTGGCAGTTTTACATGCATGCTTTCTGAATGACCAATGGAAAAATATATTTTCTGTAACATGCAGTCAGGTGGTGGGTCAAAAACAGGTTTGAATTTAAAGGGAAGGGGTATGTGGCGATCTGCTTCCAAAAAATTAGTCATTGAAAACCTCACAGAGCACATTTCTACTCTGATACACATGGGGTTGCCATGAGTCGGAATTGACTGCATGGCATCTGGTGGAGCTGTGTGGAGCTCTTCCTATTTTGAATGGTGACTTGAAATCAGGCAATTTTGGTCCTGATGTAAGGTAGATATTTGAGGAGAGTGGATGTCTGTCCTTGGGGGGCGTTTCTCAAAACCCTAAACATTGATCCATTTGCCACCAGTCAGAAAAATGGATTACCACAGTGTAGATAGCTTAAACTGAGCAATCTGGAAGCCAAGTTGGAGTTGGATAGGCATTCTGAGAATCTCTTATGTTGCCTGTGACAAGCAGGTGGCGTGCTGTGGGAGCCTCAACATCTGCAGGAGTTTCTTGCAGCTTCTTGCTTTCGGTGGCTGCTCTGGTATCCCAGAAGTCTTCTGGCCCAGAACATCATCCGTAAAACATCGGGAGAAGCCAAATAGAGGATAAAAGCTCAGTCCATGTCCAGTTAATTTTTCTCTTTCCTATTGCATTATTACTTTTCTCTCTTGCAGAACTTTGAGGTGAAGGCTGATGACCTAGAGCCTATAATGGAACTGGGGCGAGGGGCGTACGGTGTGGTGGAGAAGATGCGGCACGTGCCCAGCGGGCAGATCATGGCGGTGAAGGTAGAGCTGACGATCCCCAGCATTTTATATCTGTGGTGTATATGTTTACCCATCTACTTGCAAATCATAGAAAACTTGATTTACACAGAAAATGGCAAATCAGCGGCCCATTTCATAGAAGCAAAAAGTGTTTAATGGGGTGAAACAGGAAAGGTTCCTTGAATGGAACAACGTTTTCCCACAAATGTGGGAAAATACTTCCTTGATACAAATCGCAGCCACTTTTTTTTGTTTTTTAATTGATAAGTCCCACCCTCCTTACTTTTAATTTTTCACACAACTGCCAGTCGTTATAACGTTTAATAGAATTAACAGTACTTTATTAGCCTTATCAAATACCTACCTGGTCCACATTAAAATTTCCTTGATTGTATCAGAGGCTTGTTTGTTTGTTTTTCTGGCCTTTTGTGTTGTTGGTTGTTCAAATCAGCGCCCAAAGTTCACATACTGCATCTGGTTGTGATATCTCATAAGTCTCTTTTTCTCTGTATTCTGTTGTTTTTAAAGAATTGGCCCTGAAAATCAGTAATTGAGAGAGAGGAGCTGTCTCCAATTCTGCAAAAAGGAGAGTAAAATGCATGCAAGTAGATTTGCATAATTTTTGAGCCATTAAAAGAAATTTAGGATTTTCAAATGGCCTTTTTCTTGAGTAGAGACCGGAGGGACTTTAGAGAATTAACGTCTCCAGCCGATAGATTTGGTCCATCGTTAGCAACGTGGATGGTCAGATGGCTTGTACCCCCTTTTGCTGTTGGAGAATGGAGATGTCTTTCCCTTACTTTGTAGATACTGAGGTTTGACCTTCTGCTGATTTTTGGCTAAGTAGATAAAAAACGTGAAGGTCTAGTGATATTAAGAAGCCCTGGTGGCTCAATGGTTAAGTTCTTAGCTGCTAACTGAAAGGTCGGAGGTTCAAACCCACCTAGCGGCTCCATGGAGAAAAGACCTGGTGGTCTGCTCCTGTAAAGATGGTTGTTGTTGTGTGCTGTGCAGTCAATTTCAACTCATAGCAACTCCAGGTGAGAGCAGAGCTGCCCCATAGGGTTTCCTACGCTGTAATCTTTATGGGAGCAGATGGCCAGGTCTTTTCTTCTTCAGAGCCGCTGGCGGGTTCAAACCACTAATCTTTCGGTTAGCAGCTGAGCGCTTACCTATTGCGTCACCAGGGCTCCTTCCCGTAAAGATTACAGCCTAGGGAACCCTATAGGGCAGTTCTGCTCTGTCATATGGAGTTGTTGTGAGTTGGAATTGACTCGATGGTACACAATAACAACAAGTGGTATTATGTATTTTCTGTCACTTAATCATAAGAAATGGAACCATGTTTCTTTAATACTACACTTGCTGGTGTGGCAGGTTCTCTTCTCTCAGAAGCACTGGGGTGGAAATGAGTGGGGTCTCCATTTCTGTTGGATTCTATTTCCTGTAGCTGTGCCAACGCTCTTACAGCTGCTGTTTATTCCAAAGACTATCACATGTTCCCAAAGAGGGGCTTTTTAGCTCTTTGTCTCTCAAGGCTCGGGATCAGCAGCAAACTAATTAACATTGTGGCTCTTGCACAGACATAATAAAGCAAACCAGACTGTTTTTGTAAGTTGGAAAAGACATTCCTAAACATCAAACATTTTGCCCACTCTCCAAAATATATTATCTGTTTACTTCCTACCAGGGATTAGTCAGGAAATCAAATGAATATGGTCTGGTCTTCCTTATTTTTCATTGGCTACAAATAGCATATCACTTGGAGTATTTGAGTGGCTGTTGCTACAAGTTGTGTTGTGAATTTCTGTACTATTTTTAGAATGCCCATCCTTAAGGTCCCTACCTTATTAACTGACTCATCCTCATAGTAGTAACCACAAATGTTTCCATGCATTTTCATTCAGCGGATCCGGGCCACAGTAAATAGCCAAGAGCAGAAAAGGCTACTGATGGATTTGGATATTTCCATGAGGACAGTGGACTGCCCTTTTACTGTCACCTTTTATGGAGCACTCTTCCGGGAGGTAGGTGATTCTTCAATTTAGCCCAAGGAGAACAATAACTTAAACAGAGGTTTCTTAGATCACATAAGTGCCATCCACTCTCATGGCACTCTTCTCTGTTGGCATTTCTCATATTGAGGGTTGTAAGTCTTACGCGAGGAGCCTTGAGTGGTGCAGTGGTTAAGTGCTCGACTGCTAACCTAAGAGCTCCCATCAGCAGCTCTGCAGGAGAAAGACCTGGCAGTTTGCTCCCGTAAAGATTACAGCCTTGAAAACACTATGGGGCAGTTCTGCTCTGTCCTTTGGGGTCGCTATGAGTCAGAATCGACTGGATGGCAATGGGTTAAGTCTTAGGCAATGATTACATGCCCTGGTACAAAAGTCAGCTTTTAAGTATGACATTTTCAGGTGTGTTTAACCCCTTTAAAAATGCCGAGGCTTTCTTTTTTCTGTTTTGGTTGGCCTATTTTGGCAGACCTGCCTGTAGATTGTGGGGCGCTCGTGGTGTAGTGGTTAAGAGCTCAGGCTGCTAACCAAAAAGCTCAGCAGTTCGAACCCACCAGCTGCTCCTTGAAAACCCAATGGGGCAGTTCTACTCTGTCCTTTAGGGTCTCTATGAGTTGGAATTGACTCAACGGCAATGGGTGTGGTTTTTTTTTTTTTTTTTTTTTTGGCTATAGATTGATCAATTGTCTATAGATTGATTTGGATAGATTCCTTAATATCTGAAATATTGCGGTCTTTTGGACACATAAGCTTCATGTAGCCTGCTTATGCACCATATAGGCTTATTTTATTGCTTTGCTCTGCCTCTGTTTTTCACTCCACCCTTATATGGATTATGATGCTTCATCTCAGTCTTAAAACCAGCCTCATGATTGACTATTGCTGGTGCTCAGAGAATGAGGGGTCAGACATGGAGCAGGCAGACAGCAGTTACAGTAACGGCTTGTGGCTATTAGTATTTAGATCCTTGTTTTCACTGAGGAGTGGTGATCACGTGCAGGTTCTCTTTTGGTGTCTGCTGGCTTGCTCTTTGGAGATAATGTTACTTGTTTATAAATTCCTTTGCTGTCTTGAAGGGGGACTGTACGTTTCCCCAAAAAACTCAAAGCAAGAAATTATGGTTCTTCCTGACAGGTGTTAAGTGTTTCTTTCTTTGTTTTGTTCTCCCTTCCATCCTTGCTAACAATCCTTCAACCACTTGTTCTTTAGGGCGATGTGTGGATCTGCATGGAGCTCATGGATACATCACTAGATAAATTCTACAAGCAAGTTATTGATAAAAGCCAAACAATTCCAGAGGACATCTTAGGAAAAATAGCAGTTTCTGTGAGTACATCATGAAACTTACTACAAGGAGAGTGTGAGAAGTCTAGGCCTGATATGTCTTTGTGTTCCCAGTATGAAGAAACACTGTCTAGACCATAGCTACTATCCGGTACATGTCTGTTGAATGTATGAGTGGATGGATAAATGAATGCTTTTGTTTCCAAGCACTGCGTAGAAGATTCCACCACTGACTAGGTTTGTTGAATGCTAAGTTAAATGCCTTCTAAGCAGTGTGTTCATCCAGTATGATGACTCCATCCCTGGTGTCTGTATTCTGAAATGTTTCTTCCCATTTTCATTTGTAGAGTTTTAGTTTTTTCCTTCGGGTTGATGGCCATAGAAGGAAGCAGAAGAAAAAGAAATGGAAAGAAAGAATGCTATCTTAATGGCTGTTGAGGCTCAGAAGAGTGGAGGGAAAAAATGCTTGAGGCTAGAATCCTGTTCCAAAGTGGGAAGAATGCAGAATAGAATTTCAAATTCTCATGGAATCCAGACTTTCTGGAGCCACTGAGGCTGGATGAAACCTCGAAACTATTACCCTGAGATAATCTTTAAACCTTAAACCAAAAATATCCCGTCTTCTTAAAACCAAAAAATAGTTTATCTTAATAAGTAAAGTATGTCTGCCTTGAGTATTGTACTCTGTTAAAGAATTATCTGTGTGAGAGCAAATTGACAATAGCAAATCAGAAGGTTAGATAAGAAGCTTAGGGGGCAATGAGTTTAAGTCAATGGTGGTGGGACAATTTGGAGAAGGGTGGCAAGAATGTTTATACAACTTGAAGAATATAATCAATGTCACTGAGTTGTACATGTAGAAATTGTTGAAATGGTATATAACTGTGTGTATTTTCACCCAAATTAAAACAAAATAGTTGAGGCCAAATGAAAAACTAGATGAGTGAGACATCCTCTCTACTATAAGATATAGTCTGTCCAGCAGATGGTGTCCAGTTCATCCATTTATCCACCCATATATTCATTCTTTCATCTTTGTGTAACTTCCTGTGCGTTTTCCTTGATAGGGCTACTCTTTAAGAAAACAGACCACGCTCTGACCTTAAGCCAAGGCTAGTAAACCTGGATGTACTTAACATTTAATTTCCTTCCAGTGATAGGGTAAATAAATTATCTTGTGTTTCTCTTGCAGATCGTTAAGGCATTAGAACATCTACACAGTAAGCTCTCTGTGATTCATCGAGGTAAGCATCAGAGAGCCACCCTGGCTGCTCCTTTTATAAATTCGTCTTTTTTACTTGCAGTTGTTGTTTTGTTTTGGATAGAAGTAGAATTGGGTCAGGCAAGAGAACTGAGGGGTTTTCCTTCAGGATTAGTTAGTACATCATGTAAGGAGCTGTTCTTTATTTTGGCTGAGGATATAATAAGACATGGGCTTTATATTACATTATACCTAAATTGAATATAAAGTTGTGGGATTATCTTACTGAGAATTTTAGAGAATAGATTAAAATGCATCTAGTATTGGCCATCACCTGGGAGCTTGTTAAAAAAGCAGAATCGCAGATCCCAAGACCAGTTGAATCTGAATCTTCATTTTAACAGTACAATACAATGTGAAAAGCTCTGGTATAAAGCACAGCCCTTTTAGACAGCAGGAGATGGATAAAATGACTTTGGTAGATTTGTCTCTTCCTTCCCTCCTTCCCTCCCTTTCTATTAACTTATCTCTATGTCCATCCATTCATCCACCCATATATCCATTCTTCTTTCATCCATCCATCCATCCATCCATCCATCCATCCATCCATCCATCCATCCACCCATCTATCCATCCATCGATCCACTCATCTCTTATAATCACTTTTCAAGTATTTTTTGATACAGCACTGTAATAGGTGCACTGTGAGATATCTGAGAGGAAAACATATCATTCTTTGCCTCTGAGATTGTTAAAATTCCACATAGACTTCTTGATAGGGAAATAAGATGAATATACAACAAACACATTGAAAAAAATAAGCCACTTTAGAAATATGTAAGTACCAAATATAAATGTAGCATCAATAGAACATAAAA